ATAGCCACGATAACGCTAGTTTCATCGGCTGAAGCCGCCATGTTCTTTAGACTGAACTGTCGCGCTTCTCGTTGCGTCACACCTCAACCCACCTCAAAGCCAACGCTAATTGGACGTTCGTTTGGTAAACAGCTCCACATTTTCTGTAACGGAGAGTCTCCAGACTGATTAGCGAGTGAAATCTTGAAAGCTCGCAAGATCAGGATGGTCTCACGTCATGATCTGCCCTGATAGCTGACCTTAATTATTCACTTCATTCACCGGTCTAATACAGTAGCCCAACAAAACCCTTGTAATGAAAACATGCACATTGAAACTGAAATACCGGCTCCACCCCTTAATAATGGGAGTCGTTGAGGTTGTTATTGGTCCGCAATACCTAATACTTGGACATTCCTTTGAAAAGGCAGTTGACCCTTGACCCCTAACGACTGCCTTTTGAGAGGAATGGGCCGATATCGAGTTTTTGTAAGCCATTACAAGGCTTTTGTTACTCTATAAAAGCCTGGAACTCAATGCTAATCCAGACATTTGGAATTGAAATACCTTCCTGGATGAGAAGCGAAACGTCTTCAAACTTGGAAAACAAAGGTCCAGTGTTTTTTCTTTTTTTTTACTTTAACTTTTTGGTCAGAACTAATGTTTTTCCAAGCTGTTTATCTAATTAGGACAGCTGTTCTGTCAGGATATACAGTTATCATCCACCTCCACCTCCCGAGGAGGCTGAGGTCCTTTGGAGTGAGCAGGCCCCTGCTTAAAACCTTCTATGACTGTGGTGACATCAGCCCTCCTCTATGCTGTCCTCTGCTGGGCCCCTGGCAGCACAGAGCTGGACAGAAAGAGTAAATATACTGGTGAGAAAGGCCACTTTTGACCTGGGCTGCACTCTGGACTCAGTGGAGGAAGTGGCAGAGAAAAGGGTACTTTCCAAACTTACATCCATCATGGACAACACCTCTCACCCCCCGCACCCGACTGTAGAGGAGCTGAGCAGCTCCTTTAGTGAAAGACTTATACACCCTGTTTGTATAAAGGACTGCTAGCGCAGGTTATTCATTCCTGCTGCCATCAGACTTTACAAAGCAGCACTATAATTGCGATAACTAATATGCAGTTACTACTTAAGTGCAATAACAGTGCAATAATCCTGTTAAATATGTATATATATATATATATATATATATATATATATATATATATAACATTTTTAAAAGTATTTTAATTTATGAAGGTCAAAAATGAAATTCTCCTGTCCTTAAGTACAACAAAGAACCTATACTTTTTACTTTCACTAAAGTAGAGGAATTAGAGTCTTGTATGCACAACCATCAGTTCAGCTCATTAGCAGTGACTCTAAATAGATGGACAATGAGTTGTTGCAGAAACAGAACTTGTACCTCATCTCCTTTTGGTCCTGGAATTAAACGACCTTTTTGACCCTGAAATACACAAAAATAATAAGAAATAAGAATACTGTTGAACAGCTGGAGAATTACCTGATATTAAATCAATAAGTGATTGTTCAATAAAGCACTACAGAAGATATTGAAATGATTAAAATTACAATAAAAGGAAATCTGAAACCTGATACTATCATGGAATTAAAACAAAAAAAGATACTACTGACGATATTGAGGGCTGAATAAATAAAAAGAGAATTCACTAAAATCTATTAGGCTGGAAAGATGGCTTACAGGTGGACCCCTTAAACCAGGACGACCAGGTATACCCTGAAATGACACATTGGGAAACACAACATTACTAATAAAAACATTGCTTGTTCACATAATGAGTAAAAGTTTCTAAACCATAGATACAAATAAAACAACAGCAGAAATTGGCTTGTAACATAACACAATAACTAAAGTAAATATGCTTTTATTAATAATCCCAGGCGGCATAAATAATGCCTGTTTTGTCTACCAGATGTATTATGATATATAATATGATATATATAAACAAACATGTTTACCATTAGAAAAATGAGAAATTTAGATGTTGCTCTACTTCTATATAAACATTTAAAATGTTATATTCCTTAATCATTATTTGAGCATCAGGAGATATTTGCCTCTTAGCTGTCAGGGTTTATCTTGTGGAGATTCATAGACCTGGATCCTCTGTATTGAATTTACAGAGGATCCATCCTTTAAAATTTACTGTGTTGAACTGAACTGAACAAGTTAAACTGAATCCATGTTGAAATATACTGACTTGCACTGAATAAAATTTAGGTGAACTGTGCTGAAATCAACAGAATGCATTTAAGTTCTACTTTTGCCTCTCTGCCGTCTCATCTCTACCTCACTTGCTCACATTTTCCCTTTTTATCTCTTAGCCAGAGAGAAAACAAATGTTTTCAAGGTTCCTCTATCTGTACACATTTTTATGTTATTTTCATCACAGTGGAAAACGCCTCATTTCGTTGATGGCTTTCGTGGAAATGAAGAATAACCAACTAGAGGTGAATGTGGAAGTAAAGGGTGGTTATGGAAATGATACGATCCTGCCAGTGTCGAACCTGTCGGTGACTTAACACAGTGAGATAACCCCACAAGTAGTTTTTAAAAGCAACTCATCAGAACAACAAAAAACCAACGGAACTCCAATAACCAGACTGGCAGCTCCTGTTGGGAAGCGCCGGGACCAAAGATAAACAATCCAATCCAGATCTCAAAAGCCACCTTGCAGGATGAACAAAACCTGGCCAAGAATTCAGAGAGACATGTCGTCCACCAAGTGGCGGCTGGTGGAGTTTTCTCCAGGGGGACTATTAATTTAAAATAGATACATATATCAAAAACCAATCAAACGTAAACTAAGTTATTACATCAGCATATTTATATGAATGCCAACTACAAAAAAACTTTATAAAGACAGGGTAAAAACATAATATTCATGTACAGGTTTACTTTTTGCATATAAATGTTGCCCTTCTGAGGCTTTGTGAAGGCAAATCTGTGTTTTGCATGGTCAAATATGGTTTAAAAAAATGTATGTACCAGTATAATAATGGGGAAGCTATGAGTCAGCTTTATATTTTCTCACTATATAAAAAACAATTTTCTGAGAATGTGTTTATATAAAGGTAAAGTGGAGGATTTTCGCAATTTTTTTTTAGAAGACCCACCCTGTCCACTTAAAAAAAATTCACATGCTCAATTCTGTACCCGAGCATGCACAAGCCCATTTCTCATCATGTTTAAAAGTTACTGTTCTCATAGCTCATACCAGCTTACTGTGTCTGAACGTTCACTCTAACCCCTAAATCACTACATAGAGTGGGGACTATACAGTGGACTTTATAGAGAACTCAGTTAACTGAGTTTGAACAGATGATCACTGCTTTTTGCTCCCCGTTGGTCACAACTATAAATCACTGAATGGATCAACACCTCAATACATAACAGATTTGTTGTCAGAGAATCCACTGTTGTGCCATTTCATGCTTAAAAGGAACAAGCTCAAAGTTCTGTCACACACTTGAAATGAATTAGCTTACGTTCATAGCTCATTTTTTGAAAAAATAAACTAAGTTTACTAACCTATAAATAAACTAGTTCAAGTTAAATTGGTAAATTAAGCAACAATCCTACACAATAGATCCTCGTATTTCACCCTTTAAATGTGTGATCATAATATTTAGAAAGAAATGGAAAATACTGGATGCATTGAAGGAATAATGTATTTACAGTGAAGCCTTAATTTAGCCAAATTACACAGAACTTCAGAAACATTCAGGTACAATCAGGTTCTGCTGAAAAGATTTGGATGAAAAATGATGAGATTTCCTACGTTCCTCATTCAGTAGCAGATATTTCCCAAGATAGCTCAGATTCTTTAACTTAATGTGTCACTTAAAATTTGAAGTGGACATGGCTGACATACAGAGTTTTTGTTAAGTGTGTAAAGTGTGAACTCACACTAAAGTGTGAGTTCTTCTCTGTCCAAGTCTTCCTTTGTTAGTTCATAAAACTCTGCAAAACTGGAATCCAATACACCAACAGGAGTCTCAATCGCGCAGACCAGTACTAGCAGTAGACGTACAGGTCTGTCATGCTGTTTGCTGTAATAAGAGCTGTAAACCTGACGTTATTCAATGAAAAGTGTTTCAATTGGATGCGAATGTGAGATGCGTGTGTCCCTCATTCTTCTCTGAAAAAAGTCGCTATTGTTCACATTCATCACTTCAAAACTGATCCATTTTGTTCACTAAAACTATGAATATATTCAGTGAACACTGTTCATTAACCGTGTTGATACACAACACTGATTGTATCAACCTCCCAGACCGCTTAGGTCTTCTAGGTAAAGCCTACAATGAACACCTGGAACTAGAACCAAACATGGAGAAGCAGCATTTAGTTCCTATGCTCCACTGATCTGGATCAAACTGGAAGACTAGAAAAGTGCTTAAAGCCTTTTTTTTAAGTTAATGTTAAAAACCGATTTGTTTAGAGCTGCCTTTGACTATTGAAGTTAAACTGTTAACTACAGTATTAATAGTTTAAGGTTGTGGTCAAACTGTTACATTTGTTTTACACATGTTTTTTATCTTTCAAAATTTTTGTATTCTTCTTTTATTTTCTTTATTTTATTATCTTATACATGTAAAGCACCATGAATTGTCCCAGTACTGAAATGTGCTATACAAATAAACTTGTGTTGCCTTGCCCTAATTTAAAGCCAATCAAATTGACCCAAGCTAAATGAAAAATTTAATAAATCATACTTTCAACTATTATTAAACTGATTTTTCATAGTTTGAAGTAAATAGTTAAATTTAGCAACAACCAGTTAGAATGAATGAAATGATTCTGAACTTAATAGAGATAAAGAGAGGAAATGTATGACTCACATCGTCTCCATCCCATCCTATTGGACCAGGAGGTCCAATCGGTCCTGGTAGACCCTCTTCTCCCTGCAGGAAGATACAGAAAACTGTAGAAGAAGCACTAAAACTGAGGCCTCAAGGTTCTGCTTCTTATTATTTCCTAGGTTTGTTAAAATGCATCACTCACCGGCAAACCTGGCAATCCAATGGGTCCAGCATTTCCCTGTTAGACCCAAACAGGGAGATCAGGTCTTCTGAATGTAGTAGAATTGATGCTGCGGATCAAGTGTACTTACGGGAACTCCAGGGAACTGGATAAAGTAGTACGCTGGATCTCCTTTAAAGCCTTTCGGCCCTGTGATACCCTGCAGAGCAGCATTTTACATATCATCTGAAGGTATATCCTTAACCACAGTCACAACTTGGACACAGTGACCTATAATGGTGAATCTGCTGCTGTTTATACCGGTTCTCCATAAGGCCCCTGTTCACCTGGAAGCCCAGGGTACCCAGGAGTTCCTCTGGTTCCATTACATCCATCCAAACCTGGATGGCCACGCCCTCCAGCCGGGCCTGGGTGACCCTGGACAAATAAAAAAACAAAATAGATAATGAAAGAGAAGCTTTAGAGATTCTAAAAGAGGCTGGAAGAGGCGACGCTTCTTACCGGGATTCCCTCTATTCCTGGAAAACCAGGAAGGCCTATGATTCCCTGAAATGATAAAAAACAATAAGCAGACTTCTGTAATGATGTCAATAAAAGCACAAAGACAGAAGTCTGATCAGATATCTGCTAATCCTGCGATTAGAAACGCTGATGCAGAAGTTTCTACTGTAGCTGTTCCCTGAAAACACCTGGTTAGACGAATCTGTTCTTTAATATGAGACCATAGTGCAGAAGAACAGCTGGTGTTCAATGTGTTAGAAAGGAACACCAAGGAAAAAAACTCAGATGCCACTTAAACTCTTTTTCCAAAGTCAAGGTTGGATGAAGGACTCTTCCAGAATCTGACTAAATAGAAAATAGTTTATAAACTGGTATTTTCTTCCATAAATGATATGATGGAGAAATAAAAAAGATAAATCTCCAGACTGTAGACAGTGTTTCAGTTCTCATTTTAATCAATTAACAGTTGAGGTCATAAGTCGTCTCTGATTTTATTCTGTGGATCAGAGCTAAGAAGTTAGGGAACCACCATCTGCTAAGGCTTGATGATGTGGAACCATCTGCTGAGAACCTTTCTGAGACGTTTCAGAAGTTCTGGTTATTTACTCACAACATCTCCTTTTTCACCAGGACGTCCTGTTGCCCCCTCATCTCCTTTATGACCCCTTGGTCCCAGAAGACCCTGAAGGCCCGGGAAGCCTGGAGGCCCCTGGGGGCCCTGCGGACCCAGAGGACCCGGGGAACCCTGCAGCATATAAAACACTCTTAATGGCTTAAAACCTTAAGGAACAGGACCAGGCAGGAGGTACGGTTTTAAAACCTTACACACTTCATAATATATTACAACAGCATCAACCAAGAGAACAGAACCTGGAAAGAAACGACAGCGATCAACGACACAATGTTTTAGTATGAATGTTTACAATAGAAAAGAACAGATATTCTTTTTATGCAATAAACAAAACTGTACAGTTTAGAAAAACATAAAACGTACAATAGAATAGGGTCATTTAAGAAAAACGTACAAAATACAGTAGAATATTTGTCAAAAAAAAAAACCATAATATACTATCACCCATGATTGCACCCCCACCAACCTGATCAAACACCATCATTAAGTTCACGGATGATAACACGATGTTGGAGCTCATCTTAGGAGGGGATGAGCCCACATCAGCAAGGATCTGACATGGACTACTAACTCTACAGTGATCCTGAAGAAGGTGCGGCAGAGACTGCTCTTCCGGAGGATTTATCAGGTCGAACCACCTGAGACCAGAGCTGCTGCTGTCCTTCTAACGCTGCTCTGTGGAGTCGGGCATCACATTGTGGTTCTATAGCTGCAGTACAACACAGAGGAGGCAGCTCCAACGGATGATAAACACCACTGAGAGACTGACTGGCTGCCCTCTCCCTCCCCTGGAACAGATTTACTCCACCTGCTGCCTCAGGACAGCCTGCAGCATCAGGGTCTCCCAAGGAGGTAGGTTTGATTTCGACTTTGGTAGGGACACTATTGGTCTTCAGTTTCATTAGTCTGATGTTATTGATCCTATGCAAAAAAAATGAATGCTCGTTTTTTTATGCCTGATGTGAAAATCAGGTTGTATTTCGTTTAAAGAGAAAAGCAGCATTCCTTGTTACATTTATATGAATTTTATAAGCACTACACACACTAGAAGCTGTTTATCAATGACTGAAGCTTAACAGGCTCTGATGAATGAGGAATTAGGACTTTCTTCCACTTTGAGAAGATTTGCATTTGAAATTACCAGCCACTAAGACAGTGGTTAAATCGGTGCATATTTAACAGAATAAAGTCTAAATATGTCTGTTATAAGTGGATTTATACTATTTTTTATTTTAAAGATACAGTATTGTGCAGAGTAAAAACAGAGGTAAAGTCTACTCTTATCATTTAAATGTTCTCTTTGTATCATGAAACAAAGCGAAATAATAGATTCAAGGGATGGCAAATAAAAGTATTGTATTTACATGAGCACTGGAACTAGAAAAGGGAACTGACACTGAGCGTTTAATATATTAACTTCACTCTATAACTTATTTATTATATTTATTTTCTTTATATTGCACTATTTGTCTGCACTGCCTTGTGTTATATTGTTTTATATTGAATAGAATATAATAGAAAATCCCTTTATTGTCCCACAATGTAGGAATTCTATTGTTTTAAGCTGCTAAAAGTTCTGTTGTATCCTAGAGAAACAATGACCAATAAGACTTCTGATTCTGAAATAAATCCCTTTGTTTACAATAACAAAGGAGTTATGATGCTGCTGATGTGTGCAGGGGGTAAACAAACAAGCAAAAGGTCTGTGAAACATGAAAGAGCAACAAGGTGGAAGTCCTTTAACCTGAGCAGCGGTATTTGGAGGTCTTGAAGGGAGCTTCTGGAAAACATCTGCCATAGTTGGCAGGACAACCAAAGGTCTCAGATGGGACCGTAAAGTTAGGCATGGGTGTTTACAGTAGCAGCCATTCAAAGTCAAACGCCAGCCAAATGGCAGCCTACTCCCCGGTGACTCCCATCCAAATCCTCTCCAACCTCCAGCCACTGGCCTTCTCCTGGACGTGCTTTTTTTTTAACTCTGACTCCACCCTTTCACTGAATAACAGGGTCTGACCAGGAGATGACGCTTCTCTCTAGATCTGAATGTCCACAAATCATGACAGAAAGAAGGTTTTAGTACAAAGATTGATGTTTAAAAAGGAATGTAGGGGACCAGTCAAGGAACAGCCATTGACCATCAAGGAAAGTGGGGAAATATTTAATATTGTAGTTCATAAAATAAAAAATAAGGTGTTTTTTTTTTTCTTTACAGTGTCTGACCACATGGTGGCAGTGTGACACAAATAAAGAAAAATCAACAGCAGGTCAGATGTACAGACTTTAAATCTGATAAAATCTTAATCCAAATCTGAAGAAATAGGGCAGAATAAAGTATAAATAAACCATTTAATTCCATCTGAAGTTCAAAGTTAATTGTAAGCAGCATTTGCCTGAGGTGCAAAGTTCAAAAGGAAAAGAAGGAGTTAAAAAAGGAAGTGACATCAGTGTCATTTCATAAAATGTATCATAACCTGAACTGCAATAAGTTTAAATGAAGTCCTCAATACTACAGCACAGCTTACAGTAAACACATATCTGGCCCTGACAGGTTTACATCTGAATTCTACAAGTTTTCTTCATATTTAATTCCAAATTCACATAAAGTTTTTATTGAAAGGATTCACAGATGCTACCCCCAACATATGTCAGGATGACATTATTTTAGTACCCAAACCTAGAAAACATCCTCACCTCCTGGAGAACTGGCGTCTAATCACTTTATTAAACAAAGATCATAAAAAGGTTTAAAAAAGTCCTCATTAATGAATGGAAATCTGTTTTTTTTCTAAAGAACCGGCATATTTCAAAAGATCTCAGATTAGTTTCAGATAGCTTGGACTCAGGGGTGGATTTATGAAATTTGGGGGCCCTAGGTAAGGACGGGCAGGGGGGCCTCTGAATTGAGAAGACGACAAATAAAACAGACCCATTATACAGATATAGATTTAGATATAGATAGAATTTTCATAGAATAGACATACGTTATTTGTTCTCTCTCTTCTTTTCCCTTTTCTTGTAGTTTTCCTCTCTATGTTTTGTACTCAGCTGACTTTTCATGCTGTCTCAAAAGGAATGAAAGATTTTTTCCAGTCACTAAGCTCACTTAGCTGATTGCTCCTTCCTGTGTTTCCAAAAAGGCCAAAGTAAATAACCCAGTCCTTCTTTTCACTGTAGACAAGCCATGATCTGCTTATCTGTTCTCCATTTTTCATTTGGATGAGAAAATAGCCGCATGAATTATCTCTAAAAAAAAAAAAAAAAAGGCAGAAAGAGAAGCATAGCTAATTTCTCTGCTATCTTTGAAAATTCTAGAAATTTTTTTAATAGTTGGTTAAAAAGGAATCTGTCCCTGAAAGGTAGAGTTGTGTTTACTAAAGCAGAGTCTGTCTCATTTAGCCTACGCTGCCCAGTCACTATATATAGATAAATACATCTGCACTTCATTTGATTTCTAATGGAGGAACCAAAGTTATTATTTGTCTTAAATACTATCTCGTCATTCACTTTGAACTTTATTGATTTGAACTCCTTTAATAACAATTTTAAAATGGATCAAAATCCTCTCCAACACCAAACTACAGTAAATTTTGAATTGTATATGACACTGTTTATTCACACCTTTGTGGCGTTGAATTTGTCCTTTTTTAATTATAACATTCTCCCAAAATACCCAGAAGACTTTCACTAACAGGGACTTTACAATGGTCACCCTTCTATAAACATCTCCAAGAATACTAGAGCACCACCTCCTCAGTATGCCCCTATAAATACAATACTCCTGTTACTGACAGAGAATTAAATTTAGTTTTAGATGCTTTTTGTTGGTGTTATTTAGAGATGTAGATCCTCCTTTTCAATCTGTGTGGTCTATTGATCCCAGACTACACACTGTAGGGGAACTCTGCATCTCTGACTTCAACTAAACATCATATCAGCCTCATCCTCTTTACATTTTGGAACAACTATGTCCAGAATCTTTACTGGGGGAAAAAACTGGTGTTTTCCCCCTAAAATTTTTTCCTCACTGATAAAGTTAAAGAAGTTTCTTTTAAATAAATTTGTTTTTATCCTACTATACAATTCCTACAAAAACCTGAAGCAGATATTAATGTTTTCTGCTCTGTATGTAAACTCCATTCAGACATATATTTATCTTTACTTTAAATGCTGTTATTAAACACAAATTCATTTTCTAACTTCTTTTTCTTATTTATTTGTGTTCTTTTTTTTCTATTTATTTATTTTCATAAAACAATTCAATATGATTTTTCATTACTTTCTTAATTCTTTATTTTGTCCGTATCTATTGTTCTCCTGCTTTTCCCTTTCCACTCTTTTTGTTTATCCTGCATAAATATGAGGCTTAGACCTGTATTTACGTTTTGTAGATTTAAAAAAGGAAAAAAAATAAAAACAAAAAAATAACCAATCCATAAAGCCAGCTCATTGGCACAGGAGCAAGAACACTAATTCAGGTCACAATAAATAATGAGATTATAATACTAAAAGTACTTTTAACTATCC